TTAAGAGGTTAGACAAAGAGCAACAAGTGAAATCCAAAGGAACAAAAATAATGATAAATTACTGATATTTAATAATGATTAATTACTGATACTGAAAAAAACTAACAGAAAGGACCAACAAAACTAAAAATTGGTTCTTTTCTTTTTTCAAAGAAAATACTAATAAATCCCTTGGCTATACATCAAATAAACAGAAGCAACACAAATAACTAATTTTTAGAACACAAAAGATTCATCATTATATATCAAATGGACATTAAAATATCATTTAAAAATACTTTAACAACTTTATGTCAATAAATTTGAAGATTTAGAGAAAATGGGCACATTACCAAAACATACAACTTAAACTGGTAGAAAATGTTGAATCAGAATAGTGCTATAATTATTAAAGAAATTAAATAATTGAAAACTTCCTATAAAGGAAACCCAGACTCAAATATATTCTACCAAATGTTTAAGAAAGAACACCTATTTTAAATGAACTCCTCCAATCAATAGAAAATTAGAAAATACTTCCCATTGTATGAGGCCATACAATTAATCAAAACTTAATGAAAATATTGAAAACAGTAGAATTTTTGGCCAGTCTCACTCAAGCTTACATGCAAAAAAGTAAAATACCAGCAAACTGAACACAGGAATATAGAAAAAGGATAATAGTGTATTTTAAACTACTTGGGTTTATTCCAGGAATACAATGGTAGTGTAACATAAAAACAATGCATTCACCAAGTAAAATGAATAAAAAACAATAAACTTTCCTAGCAAACTAATAATAGAGGAAAACTTCCTTAAAAGTTTATCTATATAAAAACTACAATGAACATTAGAATCATAAATTACTAAAAACTGTAAGACTATGTTGCCTGTTATCACCACTTTTTGCTGATGATCTCACCAAGTGCAGTAAGACCAAAAAAAATAAAAGAAGAATTAAAAAGAATAATAAAAGTGTCATTATTTGCAGATGACAAAATGTATAAATTGGAATAAAAATACATTCAAATTTAAAAGAGTTTAGCAAAGTACCTGAACATGTACATGTAACAAGTATCTGGCAAGGTGGCTAAATGCCAATAAATACACAAAATTCAGCTGTATTCCATAAATCAGCAGTAAGAATTAAGATTCATTTTCAAAAAGACTATTTAAAAGAACACCAAATAAAAGCCAATACCTAGAATAAATGTAATAAGAAATGTGTAAGACCACTACACAGAAATCCAAAGCTCAATACTGAGAGAAAACAAGAGAGGCACAACAAATGAAAGTATATTACACATTGTTAAAAGACCCACTGTTATAAACATCTCAGTTCTTTCCAAAGGAACCTATAGATCTGATATATTTCCAATCAAAATCCCTACATTTTGGGGAGGGGAGACATTTGAAAAGTGGATTCTAACAATTTTAATGAAAATACAAGGTGAAAGAAGCATGGCCACTAACTAGTCAAGACTTTAGAATCAAATTGAGGAGGAAGACTTACTCTGTCTGCTACCATTGATTAAAGACTGTTAACAGTGCCATAAAGACTAGCAGAAGAGAATAGAGAACAGAATACAGAAACAGACTCATACGTATATGGACAATATATGACAAAGATGGCACTAACACTGATGAAAGGACAGACTTTTCAATAAATGGCTCAGCGTCTACTTAATATACATATGGAAAACTTATGAAATTGACTTCTGTATTACACAAACTTCAACTCTGGGAGGATGATGGCTCCAAATGTTATAAGTAAAAAAGTGGAGTTTTTAGAAAATAACATAAGAGAATACATTTCTGAGCTTGAGGTAGAGAAAAATTCTTAAAGAGGCCACAAAAGGAGTACCATAATAGAAAAGATCAATAAATTTGAACATGTTAAATTTTTTTCTGTTTATCAAAAGAGAATGAAAAAGCAAACAACAGCATGGAGAAGGGATTTGTAACATATATCCCAACCAACAGCTTATATCCAAAATATCTGAAGAACTTAAAAATTACACACACACACACACACACACACACACCACAGTGTGGATGAGTCAACTGGCTACATCTACACAGAAAATAGAAATATTTCATTTTAAAGCAAGAAGAAATAGCATACACATATTATGTATACAGCTTAATTCAACTGCCACATATTCTTAATTTCTCACTAAAAGAACCTTTCTAATAACCTTATTCTGTCTCTCCCAATCAACTTATAGTCTTAACAGCCAAAAGAAATTTTAGACAGTTCGAATTTGATTTTACCTTACTGTAAATCTCACTTTAAAAAAAAAATTTGTTATCTGTTGCATTCCTATATACTAACGATGAATTAGCACAAAGAGAAAGCAGGAAAAAAACTCCATTTACAACTACATCAAAAAGAAAAAAATACCTAGGAATAAACCAAACCAAGGGGGTGAAAGACCTGTACCCTGAAAACTATAAGACACTCATGAGAGAAATTAAAGAAGACACCAGTAAATGGAAATACATCCCATGCTCATGGATAGACAAATTAGGAGTCAAAATGGCCATCCTGCCTAAAGCAATCTACAGATTCAATGCAATCCCTATCAAAATACTGACAGCATTTTCAACCAACTAGAACAAATAGTTCTAAAATTCTTATGGAACCACAAAAGACCCCAAATAGACAAAGCTATCCTGAGAAGGAAGAACAAAGCAGGGTTATGCTCTACAACTTCAAACTCTACTACAAAGCCACAGTAATCAATACAATTTGGTACTAGCACAATAACAGGCCCATAGATCAATGGAACAGACTAGAGAGCCCAGATATAAACCCAAGCACAAATGGTCAATTAATATAAGATAGAGGAGTCATGGATATGCAATGGGGAAATGACAGCCTCTTCAACAAAGGGTATTGGCAAAACTGGACAGCTACATGTAAGAGAATGAAACTGGATTATTGTCTAACTCCATACACAAAAGTAAAGTTGAAATGGATCAAAGACCTGAATGAAGGTCATGAAACCATAAAACTCACAGAAGAAAACATAGGCAAACATTTCTTGAATATAAACATAAGCAACTTTTTCATGAACACATTTCCTTGGGCAAGGGAAACAAAAGCAAAAATGAACAAATGGGACTACATCAAACTAAAAAGCTTTTGTATAGCAAAGGACACTATCAACAGAACAAAAAGGCATCCTACAGTATGGGAGAATATATTCATAAAAGACTTATCTGATAAAGGGTTAGCATTCAAAATATATAAAGAGCTCACATGCCTCAACACCCAAAAAACAAATAACCCAATTAAAAAAATGGGCAGAGGATATGAACAGAAATGAGATAGCCAATGAGCACAGGGAAAGATGCTCCACACCACTAACCATCATGGAAATTCAAGTTAAAACCACAATGAGATATCACCTCACACCAGTTAGGATGGCCACCATCCATAAGACAAGGAACAACAAATGGTGGCAAGGATATGGAGAAAGGGGAACCCTCCAACACTGCTGATGAGAATGTAAATTAGTTCAACCATTGTGGAAAGCAATATGGAAATTCATTAAAAAACTAAAAATAGAAATACCATTTGACTCGGGAATTACACTCCTAAGAATTCACCCGAATAAAACAAACTCCCTGATTAAAAAAGACATATGCACCCCTATGTTTATTGCAGCACTATTTATAATAGCCAAGATATGGAAGCAACCTGTGTCCATGAATAGATGAATAAAGAGATGTAGTACATATACACAATGGAATATTATTCAGCCATAAAATGAAAACAAATCCTACCATTTCCAACAACATGGACGGAGCTAGAGGGTATCATGTTCAGTGAAATAAGACAGGTGGAGAAAGACAAGTATCAAATGATTTCACTCATTTGCAGAGTGTAACAACAAAGCAAAACTGAAGGAACAAAACAGCAGCAGACTCACACACTTCAAGAAGGGACTAGCGGTTTCCGAAGGGAAGGGGTTGGGGAGAGTGGTGGGGGAGGGAGGGAGGAGATTAAGGGGCATTATAATTAGCACTTACAATATAGTAGGTCATGGGGAAGGCAGTACAGCATGGAGAATACAAGTAATGACTCTAAAGCATCTTAGTTTGCTGATAGACAGTGACTGCAATGAGGTGGGGTGATGGACTTGATAATATGGGTGAATGTTGAAAACACAATGCTGCTCATGTGAAACCTTTATAAGATTGTCTATCAATGATACCTTAATTCAAATATATATATATAAATGAAAAATTTGTATTTTGGTATCTTCTATGATTAATAGAATTAAAATAAGTACAGTGAAAACATTGTGATGGTGGCCTCTATGCTGGAATCTAGATTTCCAGCTCTTTTTCAAGAGTCTGTATTTTAGAAACACACTATTCTTAAGAGAAATTTTTTAATTTAGTAGAATCTCCATAGTTTACCTATATTTGAATACTGAAGCAAAAAAAATTTTAAGTCAAATACTTAAAAGACTTTTTATATAAAAATTTCCACTTAAGATTCTAGTTTAGTCAGATAAATCTGTTCTTAATTAAAATCCTGCTTGCAGTTTTCTACAAATTTGTAGTACATCAAACTAATTATTTTATTTATGAAAATATGTACAATATGTGGGTTCCATAATTTCTGCATGAAATTCATACATATCTGTCTTTGTGATTAACAGCAAGACAAATCTTGAGTTCACAGCTCTGGCATTAATCAGCAGTTTTAGCTTAGGTAAATTACTTTATTCTCTGAATCTAAGAATTTGCATCTGTACAATGCCAATACAAACTCCTACCTCCTAAATTCTTAGAATGATTAGTGCGATAATGTAACTAAAGCTCCCAAAATACTGCTTAATAAACAGAAAGCACTCAATATAAGAAAAGAAAAATGGGATAAACTAATGGTAGAACTCTAAACCTAAAAGCAGTTATAAAAATTTATCAGATGTTATTAAGCAACATGTGACATATTAGCTGGCAGTAATATCTGCAGAGTTTACTACTTTCTCATTAATAGTTACCTGCAAGATTGTCAAGCATGAAGTTCAGTAGCTTTCGGGTTCCATCTGGGTCCTGGTATAAATTGAGAATATCCTGTGATAAAGGATTGCCTAAGCCAGAAGACAAAAATAAAATCTGTAAGAGTTACAATGGCAAGATCATACAAATGCACACAATAAACAAATACTAATTGTCTAAAGTGAATTCTACTGTATTTAATTTATTACCTAAATTTAGAGACATTATATAAATTTAAAGAAATCCTATCGATAGTCATTAAAAAAACTTCAAAAATTATTTCCCATTTCACTTTATGCCGTATGCCTATGAACTGTCAAAATCACATATATACATATATACATAAGCATATAGATTAGTTGTAGTCAATTCTGAAGTAATATCACAACTTGGCACATTGAAGTAACCCTTATAGGTTCTACATTTACTTTGAAGACAGTATTCTAACTTAAAGACAAACAGCCATACAACTTGCTGCACTGATGGACAGTGACTGCATTGGGATATGGGTGGGGATTTGATGATGTGGGTGAATGTAGTAACCGCATTGTTTTATCATATGAAACCTTCATAAGAGTGTGTATCAAACATACCTTAATAAAAAATAAAAATAAAAAAAAGACAAATAGCCATATGTAACAAAGAATGAATGGTATCATATAAAAGAAGAGGGTCTTCCTAGTTAGAATATTTATATTACCTGAGGAGAAAAGGCAGATATTTCAAGTGTAAAGAAAACTTATTAAAACATAAGTTAATGAAATGTAAGAGAAAAATTAATCATTTTTTATGACAGTAACCAGGAATATCTGAGTACTAAGTAAAAATTCATCCGATTTTCAAAAATCAAACTATTGTTAACAGTCTATATATTCACTTAAATAATAAAGGAGGCATTTGTTAAGACAAGCATATAACAATCTAGCAAACAGACTTGAAAAACAGAAACCATGGGACTTCCAGAAATGATGGTACTAACTATAAAAGATTTTCAATATTACACATACCCACAAGAACAGCTAAAATTTTTTAAATGTGGACCAAAAAAGTATTAGAATGTGGAATACTTTGAACTCTCATAAATTTCTGGTGGAGGTGTAAAATGGTACAACTATGATTAAAATCTGTTTGGCAGTTTCTAGTTGACTTGAAAGTAGGAAAGGAATCTTCCTGGGATGACAAAAATGTTCTATGTCTTGAGCTAGGCAGTGGTTACACATGTGCATACTTTCGTCGAAATTAGTTAAGTTGCATATGTAATTACTTAGGTATTTTACTCAAATAATTTATATATAGCTCAATAGAGCACTAGGAAAAAACATGATGAAGGAGTTAGGTAGTTTACACACAGCTGAAAATAAAATTTAGTAAACAGAAAAATATATATATTCAACAAAATTACCACAATGCATTACTGAGGGTCAAAAATATGTAAAACCTAAGACAGTAAAAGATATCGCAGTTAGAATAAGAAATATTCATATATATTAAATTGGGAGTTCTAGAAAGAATAGGACTTCAGTTTCAGGTCCCTCATGTAAAGAGCTTGGAATTTGTCACTCCTATCCTAACAATTGAGTTCACAGAGCAAACCGCTGCCCTGAACACAAATGGGCAGATCAGAGAATCACAGCCTAGTGGTAGCAGAAGCCCAGATGCAGAAGCCGAGAAGGAACTAGTATTAGTTAAAACACTTTAAATAGTAACTGACAAAATGCTAGATGCTCAGAGATTAGCTTGAGAGAGGACTCACTCTTAGGTGCCTCCACACCTTCCTGAATTTTATGTCCAGGAACCCCACCAGGTCTCACTATAATAAAATTAGAGAAAAATCCTCCCTCCTCAAAGCAGGAGGAGGGGGGAATGTTCCCCTTAAGAAGCCCTGCCCAAGAGGGAAGCTATTTCACCAAATTTTAGAACAAAATTTTACCAAATTTTAAAATGAAAATATGTAAATACCAAATTGGTAAGTACAACCAAGTAGGGTTTTACCAAGCCTAATCAACCTTGGGTAAGAGATAGACCCCACAATCCACCTCTCTCTAGCCCAAAGTGTGTTGGAGAAGGGAGACAGATGCCCAACTCAGACTCACTGAAACACTGAGACCTAAACATAAGACTATATATAGGACTCTTCCTCTCCTTCCACACCTTACCACCACATCATACAGCTCCTCCATAACATAGGAGTATAGCTAAGAAAACTGCAGACCTTATTTAAAAGGTCTCTGGGAAAACCAAGACAGCAGAGGAAAAAACAAGGACACTAGAAGAAAGTTAGGATTGTGATACACAGCAATAGTTAATAGTAAATATAGCCTAACTTCCAGTCAGAGAGATTAGAGGAGAACTGAGAAGAGCCAATATTCGAAAAGAAAAAAAGCTCCAAACTTTCAAAAGCTGAATTTAAAAAAATGAATAAATTGATCCAAGAAGCACAGTGTATACAAAGTTTGTGAAAGGATTTCATTTTACCTTGTACTGCAAACTAGAGAATGTCAACAGCAAGTAGAAGACTTTAAAACCAGACAGGGAGAAAAAGGATCAACTACTTCAAAAGATTAAAAAAAAATGAAAATGGCAACAAAATTCAGTTAGCAACAATGGAAGCTACAATACAGTGCAATAGTATCACAGAAATTTGCAATATGGCATTTCAGACTTCAACACTCCTCTATCAGTTAATCAACAGAAAAAGTAAACAGAAAATCAGTAAAGATAAAAAAGATCATAACAACCTTTTCAGTCAACTTGAGTCAACTGCTCAAACACAGGAAAATGTTCATTACTTTCAAGTGTACATGAACAATGACCAAGAAAGACCATATACTGGGCCAGAAGACAAACTGTTACATATTTAAAAGAAATGAAATCATACAAAGCATACTGAGCAGAAGCAAAATAAAAGACAAAACACTTGAAATGAACAACAGAAGTATCTGCAAAATCCCCAAGTACTTTGAAATTAAACATCACACTTTTAAAGAATCCATGGATCAAAGAGGAAGTCATGAGAGAACTTAAAAATGTTTAATTGAATTAAAATGAAAACATCAAAACTTAGGATGCAGCTAAATTAGTGTTTAGCAGGAAATTTATACCACTAAATGTTTACATTAGAAACTATCTGAAATCGATTATCTAACTTCCATATTAAAAATCTAAAACAAGAGCAAGTAAACCCCAAGGAAACAAGAAAGGAGCCAATAAAGACAGAACAGAAATCAATTAAATTTACAATAGGAAGAAGAGATTACTACTGCACCTAAAACTGATAAACCTATCTTTGAACAACAAAAGGACATAACTTACAAATATTGAGAATTAAAAAGGAAATAGCCCTTAAAACATCAGGATAGGGAATGTTAAAAATTTATGTCCATCAACTCAACAAATTAGCAGAAATGAACAAATTTCTTGAAAGACAGAAACTACGACAGCTCATTCAAAATGAAAACTCAGCAAAAATGGCAAATTACAGACCTCCAAAAATTTGCCCCTCCTTTAATAAAAGCAATAACAACAACAAAAACTAAAATTGTCAAAATGAAGTATTTCAGAAGCCTGGAAATTAACTAATTGCAGCAACACTGGGAGTATTTATTTGAGGGAAAAAAGGGCAAAATATGGATATGGACAGTGATCTGAGTGAGGAGTTTTAACTCCTGGCCCCGTTTTAACTCCTGGCCCCTTGCTACCAGGATAGCTTGGCAATCACTGCAGCAATCAAGACTGAGCTGGAGCTCTTTCAAAGCCTCATTATCAGACCTGGCTCCCTGACTCCTGTCTAGTGCTGAAAGAATTCTACCCAGATAGGAGGGGGCATGTTTGAGGAAATCATAATGAGAAGTGCTTTAACTGTGGCTGCCTGAGGCCATGGTAACAGGTGAGGTAAACAATAACTAAAAAACCTAGAAGCAAAGCTTGAGAATAAGATGTCAACAGGGCTCTTGAAAAGCTCTGACATATTCCTGGTAATCTAGATGGCCAAACATATGCGGAGGGCTATGCATATGCTTAGGAATGACCTAGAATAGCCTCAGCTCTTACCTCTGCCTCACCTGCTGGCTATGTACAAGTAGGGAATGAAGGCTAAGGCAGTTAGAAACTTCCTGGCTGAGTATTGAAGGTGTGACCCAAAACATGCACAGAGTCACCTGGTCAAGACTGGAAGATTTAATTGTTCCAGGAATTTAAGGAAATCTCTGTTCAAGCATTAGCTGACCACTAAACTGAATAGAGACTTTGATGGCCACATACAATAAAGAATATAGACTCTACAGAATTAGTCCTGAAAAGTCACTAAAGCAACAAACAAACACAAGTAGCAACAATAAAAAAACCCTTGGAAGGGGCTTCTAACTTCAGAGCTGACACATTATTTTAAATGTCCAGGTCTTCATGAAAAATTACAAAGCATGCAAAGAAACAAGAGAGTATATTCCATACACAGAGGGAAAAAAAGCCGTTGATGGAAACTGTCAAGGACAATAAAAACTGTACCTAATGACCAGAAAAAAACTTTAGAAATCCACTACTTTAATACATGCCAAGGATTAGAGAAAACCACATCCAAATAATTGCCTCACCAAATAAAGAATACCAAAAATGCATAAATTATAAAAAGGAACCAAACAGAAGGATAAAATTAAAGAGACCCACACCTAGACAAATGATAACAGAACTATAATAACAAAGACAAAGACAGCAATAGGAAAGTAGTGACTCATAATGTATAGATAATATTAGCAGGTGATTTCTCATCAGAAACCATGGAGGCCAAAAGGCAGCACAATGACATATTCAAAGTGCTGAAAGGAGAAAAATCTGTCAACCAAGAATTCTTTTTATCAATCAAAAATACCTTTCAAAACTAAGCGAAATAAAGACATTTCCCAGATAAACAAAAGTTGAGTTCACTCATTCCCCACTGCTTTCAAGATTCTTCTGTGTCTTGTCTTCCCAGTTCATCACTAGAAGACCAAACCAACCCCTTCAGGAAATACTAAAATGATACTTTCAGGATGATATGAAAAGACACTAGGCAGTAACTTGAATCCATACGAAAAAAAAAAAAAAGGACCAGTAAAAA